ATCCGCCTGTCACCATTCCACAATACTCCGCTTCTCCAAATGAAAATGCCAAGACGCACCGAGCCGAAGTCCACGACGACATTCACTGCGATCCTCACAACTGCTCCGCCAATTAGTTGTTTGTTTGTTGTTGTTTTGTTGTTCCGAAGACGCTCCTGGCGCACGTCCGGGCATCCGCGCCGCTCTTCCATGCTGAACGGGACGGGGCTGACATGGGGCGCGCAAGCTCTTTAACTGACAGAGCTGCATGCCCGAGCGGCCCGGCGCCAGATAGTCGGTTCGAGCCACCCGACCTTTCGTTTTTCTGTTCGCCCCAGAATTTCGGTAGAAAACTGCACGTCTTCTTCCTCGCAGGCTGCCATTCACCCAGCGCCTCGCGTTGCTCCAGGCCCCACTACTTCAGATCACCGCATGCCTATGACCCGCCACGCGCCATAAACCATCCTGGTTTTATTCTACAAGTCGGATGGAAAGTCCTGATGGGCTTCGAATATGTCTGGTCCTGGTCCAACTTCGAAGTCGCGATGCATTGCTCCATCGAACCAGTCAAGATCAACATCTGTCCATGAACTGGTAGCCACATCCACCGTGCCAAATGTTTACGAGCATGGTGAGGCTATCCAACAGCCGCAGCCGATGTCGCGAGCGAAATCCTGGCGTCGCCCCGAGTGCCGCGCGTTGATTCAGGTAGTCTTCTGCGCCTGCCCGGCGCACGATCGTCTTCGGGTAACCTGATGAAGATGTTCATCTTGGCATCGGCATGCAGCCATGCCCGCTTGACGTCTAAATATTCGAGCTTGAGCCCTTTCTCACGCCCCCCATCGAGGATGCGATGTGCCAATGACAGTTCGCGAACTTGCAATGGATGGGGCGGCTGCAGACGCGTTCTGTTCTTCGCGAGCCAGGATCGGCGCTCGGAATTGCCTCGCCGCCCCCGTTGTATCAGTGGGGGGCGTCGCCGGCAAGGGGCCAGGGTTCTTCCTTCATCGCCTTCCCATGAACCTCGCGCGCCCTCAGCTGTTCTGGTCCTTCCCCCCAAGCTTTTAACGTGAGTCCTGGGTCGAGCCCGCTAACCTGGCGCAGCGCCCCATGCGCGCCATCGTCGCGATGAAGTGCGCGCATGTCACCTCTGGCCGCGCCTCTTGAATGCCCCCGCGTGCCTCGCGCGCCCCCGGAACTATCGACCACCCCCGGTGCGGGCGCTCCCGAGATCTGCGGGTGGGGCTAGATCTGGCTAGGTTGCGAGCTCCTTCGCTCCTTTCCTCTAATCCCACTAACCCCCCTGTCCTCGACGGCCTGAACAGCGACCAAATCCTGAGAGGCTCTGCGCAGGCGCGCGCCCCGTGTCGGCCCGGTATTCTGCGGGAAGACCGAGGCGATGTGCCGCGATCGTTTCTGGTCCATGTTAACGCGGGCCCAACTGCATGCACATTCGGTCCGCGCCCGATCTCTGCGATGCCCATGCTTCCGGAAGGCTCCCTCCTACAGACCTCGGAGCCACAGGCCCTGAATGAGCGCCATAATTGGTCATCGGCCGTCATCTGGTTGACTTGGCCTTGGGGTAAAGCTCGACGGAATCGGTCCGGACACGCCGCTGATCTTCTTGTTCCCCCTCCCTCCGTGACCTCGATGCGTCTGCGCCGACCTTGACATTCCACCTGGGGGAGCTGCCGCTGCCGCTGCGCGGGCCGCGGGTGTCATGGGCCGCGCGGGTTTCTTCGCGAGCGCATCCTCGCCTTGGCGCCACTTGCTCTAAGAGTAGCGCGGATCGCCATCGCGCGCCTGCACGCGCGCCTTCGCGCGCTAGAACCCCCTGCGCCGGCGACGTGGCCCAGCTCGGGGCCCCCGCGGGGTGTTCGAACGGAACGCATGGCCCGTTGCTTCTCTGGGCCCCCCATTGTTCCAACGTGAATTTGAAGCGCCCAACCCCCCTGCCTACATTTTCCCACATTTTCCCCCGCCCCGCGCGCTTCAAACTGCAACTCCGCGGCGCGCTGAAGGCCGTGCGCAGTGGGCTCGCGATGCACAGCGCGGCCGCAATGCTACCGAGGGTCTTCTTCGCCTTCGCTCGCAATGCCTGGCAATTGAAAGCCCGAGGGTCACCGCGCGCGCCAACCCTGGCACGAGTTCCACTTACTCCGCCGCGCCCGCAACCAGCACGGGTGAGCAAGCCACAGAAACATGCGATTGCACATCGCGCTGGCCTCCGTTGATTTCAACGACCTGTCCAATGAGATCCAAGTCGGCATTAGGGACAACATGGGACCACATAGTGATAATGCCTGCGCGCGCTTCACCCGTGTTCGCGTCATCTTGTACTTCGTCTGCGTGATCAGGCTTACTGCTATCAAAATCGCGTCGCCCGGCTCCTGGCTCGCCTCTACCTCGGGGCCCTCGTTCATCATCGCCTCATCCAAAGCTTCCCCCTCGCAGACTTTTCTGGCCGTCTCATCGTCGCCAGGCTCCTTCGCCTGTCTCTGTGCCGCCGCTGACCATTGAC